ACGAGCTCGTGGGTTCATCGCGGCGAACCCAGGAGGGGTTCATCGCGACGAACCCACCCACGAGCTCGTGGGTTTGTAGCGACGACCCCACGAGCTCGTGGGTTCATCGCAGGGAACCCAGGAGGGGTTCATCGCGACGAACCCAGACTCCTGGGTTCGCCTAAAGGTAAGAAAAAAAGGAAAAAAAGAAAAGAAAAAAAAGGCTGAAGGAAGGAGAGAATGGGGGAAGAAAATGAGGGTAAATTGGTAATTAAAGATAAAAATTTGGCCATGTCATCAAGTTTTGCCAAATGGATTTCACACATAATTTAAGTAAAAAAGAAAAAAAAAATTTTCCGTTAATTAACATGCCACGTAAGCCAAAATTTAACAGAGGGACTAAAAAAGGGCCGGATTTGTGAACAGTAAGGATCAAAAAGGGGATTTTTTCGGTACAGGGACTAAAAATGGGCTTTTTCCTATAGTAGAGGGACCAAAAAGGGTATTTAACCTTTTTTACTTCAACAATTGTGTATATTGGTTTCGACAGTGGAGTGTATAGGTTCCTCAAAAAAATAAAGTTGATTACCTTTGTAACCACTTACCCTCCAAAGCATGTATTACAAATTATCATAATATTAATTATTTATAGATTTGATTGGCAACATTAAGCTAATTAATTAAGCTACTATATCTCGAAAAGTGATTCAACTAATTAAAAGTTTAATATTTTAAATTAGATATATCAAATTCAAATATTGAGTTGGGTAGTTTGAGATTTAAAAAAAAAAGAGACGATTATCTTACCAAAAAAAATTAAGCTACTATAATTTACATACTAGTATGATGCTAAATAAACAAATCAAAAGCAATCGTGATTATACGCCCTTGGGGCTGCCACTCTCCTGATTAGAGTATCTGCTTCCTAATGGCAGCCGCCTCCAGGCGTTCCTAGGCGCTGCTTCCCCTAATACTCCGCTGTCCACTTCCTTTTGTGTATATACCATCTTCATCTCCACCAACTAAATAATCTTTTCCTTTGGAAAATAATTGGTACATATCAGTTCAACACATTTTCTGATACATTCTCAGTTTAATTATTAAAAATATAATATAAATACAGTTAATTCAATCAGTTTTTATATTATGTGTGCATAATTGTATTATTAAACTTGTCTGTTTTTAATTTCAGATTAAAAATTAATAATTTTTTAATAAATATGTTATGTAGTATGTTAAACAAGAAGAAGTAGCAATATGTTGTCCACTCCCTTTTCCTTTATATTTTATCCTTCTGTTTCAAGAATTCCCAAAAAATTCCACTGCTATTTCTTCCAACCAACCTATAGCCCTAAATCCCCAAGCGAACCTCTGGTCTAAACTAACTGGCAGGGTAAGTCGTGACTGCTTCTTCAATCAATCTTCTATACAACGCGCTGGCTTGGTCCTCGATTGTTGCATCTTGTCGCTTGGAATCGTGCATGAGATAAAACTTCAATGCATTTGCATAATACTGATTTTTGGATTCAAGCTGCAAAGATGGGTTTTAAGGATATTGATAATTAAGATTTCATTGGATGTTATACGGATTCAACTCTGGAATTTTGGGTTGATGTTGTTAATATATCGATTGACCCTGTTTGTTGATGATTGGGCTATGGATAGGCATTCATTTGTCGGCTACCCTCGCTTTACTGAAAATTGGTGTCGGCCTAGGGTGAGGTTTTTGTGGTCAATTCTAACAATGCTCAAATTAATGTCTATGGCACTCTGGAGGAAATGTATTATTTGGTACATTGTTGGTTGGAGAACCTTTGCTCTGTAGAAGACATTTAAAGGTGAAATTTTTTGGTACATCATTTAAAGGTAAGATTGATTGAAAAAAAAAATGAAATTGGATAGTGAATGATATTTGGAAGCGATTTCATTGAAAATTTATATTGTAAGAAAAAATGTAGGTTGAACAAAATTGAAAGAGAGGGTAGATAAGGTCTAGTATGAACTCTTGAAGCAAATATTGTAAGTTTTAGAAATAAAAAATTTATCAGTTTATATAATTTCAATTATTAAATAAAATAAGCTCTTAATATTAAAATTATTTTACATTTTGATAATTTTTATTCTGTAATTTAATATAACTTAAATTACAAAATATAAATGTCATTTGAAAGAACCTATGCAAACCGAAAAAAGATTAAAAAAAAGATGGGGAAAGACCAAGACTTTTAGCTAGGTGCTCAAATTCCAATTACACGCTCAATGACATCAACAGCCAACACCAATCACACAATCAACAAGCAATAGTTTTATACACTCTCACTTACACAACTAATCACACATTCGGTTAAATTTAACAAATCATCTACTAATAGATATTTCTTAATCTACTATTAATTGAGTAGAAATTGTACTAGTAACTATTATGAAATACTGTTTCTTAATTTCCTAATTAACTATTAACCGTCGAATGATGTGGATTGAGATTTCACCATGTTTTCGCTTGAACACTCATCGGTGATAATAGAATCACTATCGTTCGTGTTTTCTTCTACGGTTTCCTGAAGTTGCAATGTAAACTCCAATGCCCACACGATATCCCTCATTGTCGTCCGTTCATCTCCACGTTCACGAACACAATTCTCCGCGACCTCACCGAACTTTTGCAAGGCCATCGGAGCAATCTGGCCTGCCAGATACGGGTCCACGATTTCATCAAGGCTTCCTTTTTAATAACAACTACGGGCCCATTGGGCCAGGCCCACTTTCTCCCCTGAAAGCCTCTCGAAGACCGATGGCTTGCCGCACAGCACCTCAAATAAGACCACGCCAAAAGAGTACACATCAGATTTCTCTGTTAGCCGCTGCAGGCGATAATATTTCTGGGTCTATATATCCGAAACTACCCTTCACCATGGTGCTGACATGGGTCTCAGATGTGCTTGTTGGACCCAGTTTCGACAAACCAAAATCTGACACCTTTGCTACGTAATTTTCGTCCAATAATATATTCGATGATTTCACATCACGATGAATGATAACGTGCTTCGCCTCTCTATGAAGATAATGCAACCCACGCGCCGCCCCCAGACAGATCTTCAACCGCCGTTTCCATGATAATGGCAGATTCTTGGTTTCATCGAGATGATCACGGAGTGTGCCACGTGTCATATAATCGTATACCAGGATCATCTAGCCGTGATCATCACAGTATCCGATCAGAGAGACAAGGTGCATGTGTCGAAGCTTTGAAAGCATGGCAATTTCAGTGTGGAACTCGTGGGCCCCCTGCATTGATGAAGGGTTTAACCGTTTGATTGCAACAGTGGTGGTCCCATCATTGATAATCCCTTTGTAAACGTTGCCAAAT